CCTGGCAAGCAAGCCCCAGGGGTCTTCCTATTTCTGCCTCCTCAGTGCAGAGATTGTATGTCCCACCACATGCAAAATTTTTACATTTTTACATGAGCTCTGTGATTCAGACTCAGGTTCTCAGGAAGCCCCTGACCAATGAAAGACCTTGTCTTAAAAAACAAGGTGAGATTGCTCAGTGGTTAAGTGCTCTTACGATTATGGCTCTTTCAGAAGACTCAAATTCAGTTCGCAGCACCCACCTCAGACAGCTTATAACTACCTGTGAGTCTGGCCTCTGTGGTACCTGCACACATGTGCATGTACCCATACAAGGCATATATACACATAATTAAAAATCAAATTAGAAAAGCTTTTTGGTTTTTTGAGACAGGGTTTCTCTGTGTGGGCCTGGCTGTCTGAAACTCATTTTGTAGGCCTGGCCTTGAACTCACAGACTTCTGCCTACTTCTGCCTCCCAAGTGCTGGGATTAAAGGCATGTGCCACCACCCCCAGCATAAGTATCTGTTTAAAGGAGGTAAAAATATCTCCTGAAAATGACATCCAGGATAGACCTCTGGCTTGTGCATCACACACACACACACACACACACACACACACACACACACACACACACACACACACACACACACACCACACACTCCTTAAGTAGATACATAGGTAGGTAGGTAGATAGATAGATAGATAGATAGATAGATAGATAGATAGATAGATAAGATAGACAAGATAGACAGACGGACAAGCCTATATCCTAGCTCTTGGGAGGTAGAGGCAGGAGAACGGTCAAGGTCATCTTCAAGGCCATCTTTAGTTACTTGAACCCTATTTCAGACACAGAAAACCTAAATAAATAAACAGCACTTCTGAGCTAGGTATGCTGGTACAGGATTGCCATGGAGCCAGCAAGGCTAAGGCAAGAGGATCATGAGTTTAAAGCTAGCCTGGTCTATATAGCAAGACCCTGCTCAAACCAAAGTACTTCTGCTGGGGGTTAGTTTTGGCTGAAAACCTCTGTGGACAACCCAAATCCCATTGCACAGGACCCTGGGCAACAGGATTTTGACCAGCAGAGCCAAACCTGGCACTGAGCACTGGTCAAAGAGCCTCTTCAGCTGCAGCTGAAGAAGAGTAGCCTAGGCAGCAAGAGGGATCCTTTTCAGTTCCTGGAACTGTCTCCTTGGTGACAAACAAGAAGCCAATTACAGTTCTGGAGATTCTTCAGAAGATCCGCATGCACGTGTCTGTCCCACAGTGTGATGTGTTTGGATACTTGAGCATCGAGTCGGAGATTGTGATCCTGATTATCCCTGTTGACCATTATCCAAAAGCTTTGCAGGTGGGTTCACATACATTGTGCAGCCAACTTGTCACTTTAGAGTTTGGTGGACTTACAGTGGGAGTGGGGGACACAAACCAGGGATGGGAAAGAACCAAGGGGTGAGGAAACAGGGCACCTTGGAAGTGTCATTGGGAAGGGAAGGAAGAAAGAGCAAGGCAGCCTCTGAGAGTCTGTTCCGGGTACGGAGGCCAGACACACCAAGTCCACCCCACCATGACTCAGTGAGGCAGCCAAGGCCTGGGGAGTAGGACACTGGCATGGGCCAGACAGTGACCAAGGGTCCATCAGAGGCAGTCTCCAGGGCCCTAAGTTTTTCTTCCCCTCATATCAGGGGACTCTGGAACTTCACTGCCCAAGTTTTGGCAGAAAGTATCCAGGACTCATGGAAGGGGTGGATGGAGGCAGTCCAGATGCCTCCTTCCAAACCCGTTTCCATCCTCATCTTTAGAACAGTAGTAAAAGCATTCCCTATGACTGGGTCTAACTGACTCTCTCACTGTCTCTCGTGAGATAGGCAGTGTATGGTATGGTATTATGCAAAACCAAAAATGGCTGACTGACTAGGGCAGTTTCCATTACTGTCCTTCTATGTGTATAATTAGTTAAGCCCTGTAACTAACTCAGACTACACATAAGAGCAGAGGAAAAGTGAGCTGCCTCTGCGACTGTTCTGCTTTTGACATGTGCCTGGAATTTGCTTCACTGGACCTTTTCAGGATTCTGAGGTTTTCTATTGAAAGATCTTTCCCCTTGCAGATTGAGGCCTGCAATAAAGAAGCAGAGAAAATCGAGTCCCTCATCAACTCGGACAGCCCCACTCTGGCGTCCCATGTCCCTCTCTCTGCCCTCATTATTTCCCAGGTGCAGGTCTCCAGAAGCCTTCCCTCCTCTGCTGTGAAGGACAGGCCTCCCTGCCACTCCCTGCTCCTCTTCAGCCTGGGTCTCGCCATGCACTTGCTGTGGATTCGCCCCTGACTGCCCACAAAAGCTGCAAACCATCCCTTGACTCGGCCAGCCCACCTTGTGAAGACATTCAGGACTGTTAGCGGGTGGCCGAGAAAAAGCACGTGTCACCTCTTAGCACCACACAGTATTTTTTTTTAAATCTGCCAATACTAGGGGTTTTGCCTTGAATTTAAAATGATAAACTAGGCTCTCCCAGTATAATGGAATCTATTGCTGGTGGGTCACGGGGCCACAGTTTACATTTTGCTCAGTAGATAAGTACCCTTCTCCAAAGCAAATGTACCGTCACTGATCAATGAGACGGTCACTTCATAGGAGAGCCCCTTTGCTGTTGGGTTTGTGTCCTAGTGGCTTTTTTTGAAGTGTTGAGGCTGCCACTGTGCTGGTTTCTGTGTCTGGAAGCTAAGGGTTCAATGAAAGGCCACTGCTGTGTCAGCATAGAGGGAAAGAAAGCCTTGAAATGATCACAGGCAGACTCCATAGTCATTTAAGGCAGGACTCCAATGGACCTGTCTTGCAAGTGGTCCTCCCAGTAATTGCCAGTTTGTGCCTGTGAATGGGGCAGCCCCAGTGCATCCAAGCGTCTTGGGTTGTGCAGTTTTATATTAGCCAGATAGGCTGGTCAGTACTCACCACGTTCAGAGAGTTTAACTATCAGACTTTAAACCAATTGCTGCTACTATATAATTGCCAAAAAGTAAGATAATTAGTTCATGTAAATAGTACATGATTTTTTAATTTTATTATGAAGGTGAATAGCCATATTTGTAAATGACAATCATATGTGTTAGCCCTGTACTTTCCGTTCATGAAGACACATTTGCTTTTGTGATGTGCACAGTGTGGATAAGTGTCTGTCTGACTTTCTTTTTATATAGAATTATAAAGACTGTGGTTTATATATTTAAAATGTCAGGCTAAGTATTAAAATGTTTGTATGTTGTCTAAGAAATTGGATACTTTGAATGTTTCACAGTTTGAAATAAGCTATTAATGTAATACTTATTGTTTGTATGCACCTGAACTTAGATTTTACATGAAGTATTTTTCAGTGTTACTTGTACCCTCTGAAATTTAGCAATATGCTTATTATACCAAAATGTTGTTGAAAAGTGGGCACTTAGAGCTTTCAGAGGATCTCCGTGCTGATGTTAATGTAGACTCTGTCACAATTGCCTGTTTCTGTCTAAGTGTCTTCAACATACTAGACTATATTGTGTATATATATATTCTATATATAGTATACCATAATATACTATATATGTATCTATATATAGTATACATCAATATACTAGAAAGCTTTTCTATTTTAATAAAAGTAATTTTATATGATCATGTGTATTTCCAGGTAATGTGTGCACTCAGATTGAAACTGTTTCTCACTCTTGAGTTGTGTCTTTACTGTGTGGTGAGAGGTCCTGGAGTGGAATCAACCCAAGCCAAGGCCTCTGGGAGAGTGAAACAGGCATGTTGAACACCCAGGCATAGCCAGAGGGCAGGCAGTAGCAGAATCTGGTACAGACTCCAGCTTTAGGCCTTCCAAGACAGAAACAGACAGGCAGGTCTGTTCCCTTGGCCTCATGTTCCAGCTCAAGGGTACATTTGGGGGCAGATGCCTGTGAAGTGTGGGGATGGAGGGACTCCCGATGAGGACCTGACTAGCATAGCATCAGTTTCTTAGGCTGAGTGCATGAAACCCCATCATGTTTGTGTCACTCCTCCACTGCATCAGCTCTAGTTCTTCCCACGCCATCTTCACTCCAGCTCCCATACTGTGTCCTCATAGACGGGAGAAGAGACAGAACCATGAGCTGCCGCTGAAGTCTCTACTCAAGTGCCAGTCTTCTCAGCCTACAATTTAGTGGGCAAAGCAAGTCATGTGTCTGCTCCTAACAAAAACTTTTGGGTGGGGATGTAAAGTATCCCTGTGGTGCGGTATGTGTTATTGGGGACGGTGAGTACTTTGGTTAATGCAGTTTACCTCTGAGGGCTCCCCTCGGGGGCACAGATGAGAGCCAGGACTGACTGGATATAGTTTTGATATGTAGTCTTCACACACTTCAGAGACCTACAGAGTATGGCTTTAAGATGTTTTAATAATATAAGGCTTTTCATGCCAGTGAGACACATCTGCTCCTGGCAGCACCAGTCTACTTCAGAGAAGATGATGGGCATCAAAGAACCTCCATGTGAGTTTGCTTAAAATGTGGCAAAACTAACCACTGGGTAATAAATTGTCCTTCCCTTGACTACTGACAGAATGCTGTCCAAATTGGACAAACAGGACACAAAGGAAGTCAACTGATAAGCTTTGCCAAGACAAAGTAGGCTAGTCCTTCAAAATTCCTGCTTCACAGAAAACTCTGTCAGATATTCTAGGCCTGTAGGCTCAAGATGGATGCCTCAACATTACAGAAGAACCTTGGGTGACTGTCCAGGTAGCCAGCTGTCTCTGTCATTTCTACAGTTTTGGAAGTTGGTTGTTCTGCACTTAACCCTTCTTGGGTCTCTGATGGGGGTTGAGGACTAGATAGTTACAGTTTTACAGTTTTCCTTGTTACCGAATTTTAACAAAAAGTCACAAAATAGATGTAAAGATTGGACCCCAGACTGATAGCTGGGAAACCATCATAGGACTGTCCCAGACCCCCTGAACGTGGGCAATCTATGGGGCCTCTGGTAGAGGACCAGTATTTATCCCTAGTACACGAATGGACTCTGGGAGCCCAATCCACATAAAGGGATGCTCTCTCAGCCTAGACACACAGGGGAGTGTAAGGGGCCATGGGCCCAAAACAATGCAGCTTAAAGTCCACCTTTGTAAGCCTTTTAATGACCTTTAAGTTTGTGGCTTAAAGTCAGCTCTGTGAGCCTCATATAACCTGTAGCCAGCTCTGTGAGCCTCATATAGCCTGTAATTAGACACGGTTTGGCCAAGTGGAACTGCTAACTGCTTCTGTTCCGAGAAGGGCTTTTCTGTTCGATGTTCCAAGGAAGACTACTAGATGTTCCGGCTGATAAGAAGAATGTTCCAGTCCCAGCAAATACCTGATGTTCCTTCTGTTATTCCCCCCAATTCTATTGTTGCAGGGCTATTTAAGCCCACTCTAAGCCCCAATAAGCCGAGACCTTGACATTGCACAGACGGACTCTTGTCCTTTCTTGTGCCCTTGGTCTCCTTTCTTTCTCTCGCCCATGACTCTTTCAGGCAGCCCCCCTTCGGAACCCTGAATAACTGGACCCACGGGACGGGTCAGGGGAGGGTCTAGGCCCTGCTCCAAATGATAAGACAGCCTTTGAAGATTCCCCCCCCCCCATGGAAGGCCTCACCCTCCTTGGGGAGAAGAAAAGGGATTGGACAGGGGGTCAGTGGAAGACAGGAGAGGAGGAGAGGGAAAGGGATTTGGGATTGACATGTGAAACAAGCTTGTTTCTAATTTAAATAAAAAAGAAAAGAAAAAAGATGTAAAGATTATAAAGGGTAAAAGACGTAAAAGCTTAAATTGTTTAAGTAAGGACTAAAAGAATATTTTTAGGCTGGTAATACAGGTTATGATAGAATATGGTTTAGGTATAAAATTTTGTACTCACCAAAATAGGATAGGTGATAGAGTACTTTCTACAAATTTGCCAAATACAAATGGACTGGACATTGTAAATGTGATTTTACCTGATAATTGTTCTTTTTTTTAATGTAATTTATTTATTTATTTGCAGATTTTTTTATTTGAATTAGAAAGAAGATTGTTTTACATGACAATCCAAGTTCCCTTCTCCCTCCTGTCCTCTCCTACCACCATTCCCAACTAGAACTCTTTCTATTACATACCCTTTCTGCTCCCCCTGGATGTTGAGGCCTTCCATAGGGTGTCATCAGAGTCTATGGTATCCTTTGGGATAAGGCCTAGGCCTACCCGGCTCAGGGAGTATTCCTCTATATGGAATGGGCTCCCAAAGTCCACACCTATGCTAGGGATAAGTACTGAACTACTAGAGGAGGTCCCTTAGATTTCCGAGGTTTCTTCACAGAAACACATGTTCCTGGGGTCTGGATCAGTCCCATGCTTGTATCCTAGCTTTCAGTCTGGGGAGCAAGAGTTCCCCGATGTTTAGGTCAGCTGTTTCTTTGGGTTTCACCAGCCTGGTCTGGACCCCTTTGCTCTTCACTCGTCCTTCTCTGCATCTGGATTCCAGTTCAGTTCAGTGATTAGTTGTGGGTGTCTGCTTCTACTTCCACCAGCTGCTGCATGAGGGCTATTGGGTGGCATCCCTACCTATCACATATCCTTTCTTCTATTCTTCCCCTGACTCAACCTTTCTGCTCCCTCATGTCCTCAGCATCCCTCCTCTTCTCCCCTTCTCATTCTCCTGGCTCCCTCCCCCCTCTTCCTGTGCTCTCAATTTGCTAAGGGATCTTGACCCTTTCCCCTTCTCCAGGGGACCATGTATGTCTCTCTTAGGGTCCTCCTTGTTTACTAGCTTCTCTGGCAGTGTGGATTGTAGGCTGGTAATCCTTTACTCTATGTCTAAAATCCGAATATGAGTGAGTATGTACCACGTTTGTCTTTTTGTGATTGGGTTACCTCACTCAGAATGGTTTCTTCTAGTTCCATCCATTTTCCTGCAAATTTCAAGATTCCATTGTTTTTATTCTGCTGAGTAGTACTCCATTGTGTACTGATAATTGTTCTTATTGTATATAATTTTACTATGTTAGAGTTAAAACCTTTCCTTTTTATCTAGACAAAAAAGAGGGAAATGTGGGATAATCTTTTTGTACACTTTGAAGAAGTGTCTCTGCCAGGGTGCCTTCTGATTGGTTTAATAAAGAGCTGAATGGCCAATAGCTAGGCAGGAGAGGATAGGTGGAAGAGATAGGAATTCCTGGAAGAAGAGAGGTGGGATTTGCCAGCCAGACATGGAGGAAGTGGGACCTGCTGAAGTACTGAGCAGAGGTAACAGGCCACATGGCAAGATGGTGTAAGACCTAGTTGGGAAGAAGCCTAAGCTAAGGCCAAGCTTTCATGATTAACAAGAAACCTTCATGTCATTATTTGGGAGCAGGCAGTTCAAAGAAAGACTTATTACAGGATTTTGTATTAAAAATCTGCAAAATGTAGAGCATTGGAAATGCCCTGGGCTCTGCTGTGCGGTTGTCCCCTGATGGGACACCTGGTGCTTTGTGTCTCAGCTTCCTCTGGGGGAATCGTCATAAGATAAATGTTGAAAAAGAATCAAGAATCCTGACCCATTTCCTAAAGGTTGTCCAGGGACTCCTGTCATCTAAGCACCATGCCAGACATTTTTAAATGAATTGCTTCTTGGGATTCTCATACACAGCATTTCTAACAACAC